TTAAGAGTTTTAGCCAAATGCATTATAATATAGTATAGATAAATTCTTGTAATTATATATTAAGAAAAAACAATATTTTATTAAATACATTAAATATTTAATAATATAAAACTTTATCATTTTGAATGGTCTAGTTTAAGCTATTTTTTTGAATGAAAAATTATTAATTTTTTTTATTTTAAATGATTAAGTTTCTGAATAATTTTTTGAATGAAAAAACCATTAAAATTTCACTTTTAAATGATTATGACTCGTAAATTTCTTTTAAAAAATAAATAAACCATTGAACTTTTACTAGTCGGTTAGTGTATTTTAAGTTAAAATAATGTAGGTAATCAATTTTTAAAGTATGATGGTTTATTTATTAAAAAGTGTTTAACGGATAAATTTCCTTATATGATGAACATAAGAAGGGTTAAGAATCTTACCGGGTAAGAGCAATGAAAAAGATAGAGAGTCTTACCCGGTAAGTAAGGATAACGACTCTTACCCAGGTAAGTACTTACCCAGTAACTTGTTGCATTCGATATGTTTTGATGTACTAAAATCTTACGTATTAAAATAAATCATAATGTTGAATCCTATAAACACTTACCAGGTAAGCATTTAGATAAACAGACCCCTTAATCAATTAAAATGAAAAAATTTAGTAATCTTCTCATTCAAAATAATAAAATTTAATGATTTATTTATTAAAAAAATAATTTAACAACTAAACCATTTAAAATAGAAATTTATTTTAGATTTTTTTAGACTTTTTCCTTAAAATTAATGTTACAATCCCTTTTTTTATTCTAGGAAATAGGAAAGTTTTGCCCACGAAATATTTTGAGGTGCAGTGATGCAAAAGACTATGTTTGATTTTTTTTGTCCGCAATTGCGTGATTTTATGTGAATAAATACTCCTAATCATTCTGATTATTTAATTATTCTGAATCAAACTATTCAGCAACTGTTAAACAGCTCCTTAGCCGTTGATATATAGCTCAATTGTTAAATAAGTGAGACGACTTTATTCAAATACAAGATAGATCTCAAGTTTGATTCCGGACCCCTTTCTGTTAATCGCAATCGTCGACTGAGCAAAAAAATATCTCCTAACGTTAGTGTTTTTAAAGGCAGATTCCATATAAGGTCGATTAGGATTACCGGTTTCCTAAATAATAAATTTCAATCGGATGATTTTTACCTTTTTGCAACAAGTATTTAAAAAAAAATAACTGCAAACATTTAACATATCTTCTGACAGCGAGCAAATAAAATAAAGTCAATTTTTAATGAATTTATAATTAATTAGGTCAATATTTTATAATAATTATCTATAAATAAATAACCATATTTATAAAATATAATCTTTAATTACTTTTTTAAATTTAAAAAGTTATTGTTAAAAAAAACAGGATCTTAAAACCCCGCGTCTATCATCGGTGTCTGATTTCAAATTTCTAATCAAGCAAGTAGGCAATCATCGAAAGGTTGGAGTGATGTTCTTATTTGTTTGCGTTGTGGCACTTTGGCAACTATGGAAGTGGCGGAATGAAATTTTTCATGCTGAGGATGACGCGAAAATTAAGAAGAAAGGTGAAACCCATTTCCTTGGGTTCAAAATTTATCCAAGCTATGGATGGAGACTAGGAATCGTAAATTCATTCTTAATTGGGATAGTTAGACCTTTTCTCATTACCTTGTTTAGTCTCTTGGTTTATCTGTGGTTTGTTTGTTTTTGGTTTGGGCCTCGTTTTGGGGACATTTTTTTTGGTCTTGTATCCTTAATTTCTTGTTCGTTGTATTGGACTCTTGTATCTGCTTGTGTCTAGCTTCTTACTGGATCTGTTTTTAATCTATTGGTTGGCTTGGTGAGGGTGATGGCCATGCCGAAGCTCTCTCCCTTATCCTTCTTTTTTGCCTTTCAAAAAAAAAAAGGATAAAGTGATGAATATATCTTTACGACATTTTTAATTTTCACGGAATGAATATAGTTGAATGAGGACAACATATGTGTGACGAATTATCCGATTCTATCATTTCGTCCATGAACTTACTTTTACGTCTTAAACAAACACAAACTGTAACTGATGTAATAAGCTTTGAGGACGATTTGATCTTTTAAACCGAAAAGAAAGCAACCACAAGGTCCTAAAACAGCTAATCGTATAGTGTTCTCAACCATTGAACCCATCAATTAAGTTTTAGGCAAGGTCTGGTCTCTTAATCAAACCATGATAATTTACAAACGAATGAACTTGAATGTCATGATTGACCCATAGTCAGTTAATAAAAGAATGGGCTTGAATCTCATAGTCTTCTCTTTTGAATAGCTGTTCAATCCTTCATGTCATATTGATTACACATCTTAAGAGGTCTAGAACGATTAAAGAATTCCAATTGCAAGGTTTGTCAAAGCTCGATTAAGGCATAATCATTTAATTATAGCACAATGAAAAAGGTCAATAGAAAATCAGATATGCACTAACTTATTTGATATTAATATTTATTCTGAGGCTTTTCAAAATTGTTTATATCCCGAGTTGCATCTTCGTTCTGTTCTGAAATCAATAATCTTAACATGCAGTCTTGCTTTATGTTTCATTTTTTTCTATGTGTTTCTTAGTTTTAATTTTATGACTTTGTGTGAATTTGATTTGTAATCAACTGATAAATAAATTCAAAAAAATAATTTATAAACTTTAATTTAAAAAGGTTTAAAAATTATAAAAATAAATATTTTATAATATATTAAAGATATATTATAAACACAGTAGGGTTCAAACCGAGTCTAAAGGTGCGTTTGGTTTGCAGGAATGTTTCTGAGGGATTTGGATTTGCATGAGGGATTTGAATTTGGAGGGATTTGGATTGGATTGGATTTAAAATCCATTTCTGTGTTTGGTTTGCAAGATTTGGATTGGATTTGAAATCCATTCCTTTATAAATCATGTTTGGTTTGTAGGATTTGGATTGAGATTTTTTTTCTTTTGTAATTATTTTAGTCATCAAATCTCTTTCATTTCTAAAACTACGTATTTAACCATCAAATCTATTAATCCAAAATACATATTTAACAATCAAACTTTTTTTTATCCAAAATGCATATTTAATCAATAAATGACGATTTGAATGACTGTGATTCATGAGGGAAAGTCTCCTCTCATCCCAGAGTGTCAAACAAACATCATYTTTTCATCCAAATGGAATCACCATTTYCATTCCCTACCTTATTCCACCGTGCCAAACTTGTTCCAACTCGTTTAAAGAAAATCAAGAAAGCAACGATCCAAAACAACATTTGAATTCCAAACAATGGAAAACCTCTTTATGGGTTCTAAACATTCCAAATTTCCAATGCAAATACTAGTATAAAAATGTTTTCATGAGCTCAATAAAAAGGAAGCAATACAATTCAATTTTGAGACTACAAAAATGCTTCAACTCCAGCAACAATCTCGAGTATTTCACCAGTAATCTTAGACTGTCGTTGGCGATTATAAGCATTCGAAAGAGTCTTCTTCAAATCAATCGCGTTATCAGTGGCGTTGCTCATTGCATTCATCCTAGCAGCAAGCCAATCAACAATTTACCTGACACTGCACATCAATGCCACTATTCTTGTATTCAACATAAAGACACATCGAAAACTGATCGATATACCTACACAAACGAAGAAGAACGTCAATAAGCACTAATTAAGATCCACAATTGTAACCAAACCCTGCTATAAAAACCAAAACTGTATCAAAAACTGGTCAATATTCCTAACAAATGAAGAACAAAATGAAATAGCACTAATCAAGATCCATAATTTCAAACAAACCCTGCTATAAAAACCAAAATGTTTATCGAAAACTGGTTGATATTCAAATACAGAGGCATCAATACATCAAGAATCTGAACAAGGTCTTGTTCAACAGAACTGACTGCAAGTTATTAACAACAAATTCATCAAGAATAATTCCAATGAACTGGTCATTTACAAAGCTTAGAATGAAGTCGAGATGAGAGAAGGCGATCAATGGGAAAATTATCTTCTAATCACATATGACAATTCTTAATGCCATACTAATAATGCATTAGGCATTCCACGGTTCAGTTCTCATGTGTCAAAATTGAAGGAGATCAATGGGCTAAAGCAACTACTAGAAGATAAACCAGATGATTGGACAAGGAAGTCTTACCTGCTGATTGATGAGGGAAGGCGGCGAAGAGGAGGAGAGAGCACCGGCGATTGCAATGATGAGAGAAGGCAAGAGCAGTGGGGAGTTGGAGGAGACATCGGCGCGAGCAGTGGGGAAGCGGACGAAGAGGAGAAGAGGAGGAGAGCACCAGCGAGAGTAGTAGGGAGTTGGAGGAGACACCGGCAAGAGGGGGAGTTGGGGAAAGCGGGGCAGGGGTTAGGGCATGAAGCGTCGAAGAACAATACCGCCGGATTTGGATTCTAAATCCAGCCCATTTCCAAAGGATTCCCAAATCCCTTATTTACGGGATTTTAAGGAATTACAGGGATTTTAAATCCTGATAACTTGGCAAACCAAACATGGGATTGGAATGGATTTTAAATCCAAATCCTCCCAATTTCATTCCATTCCTGCAAACCAAACGCACCCTAAGGGGTTGTTTGTTTACCTCTTAATAGTTTCATTAAGAGATAACATCTGAATTATTAAGAGGTAAATCTTGTTTGGCAAAAAAACCCTTTGAATGATTTTGTATCATGAGTCTCTCTTAACCATTCAGCTCCTTAATTTCGTTATAAATAATTACTAAATAATTATATTTCATTTTGCATTATATCATAACGTTTTCTTAATCATTCTGACAACTTAATCATTATACACCAAACAATTCAACAACTGTAAAATAGTTTCTAAAATAAATCAGTTTCTTGAACCCGGCTTGGAAAGACCGGATGAAGAACCGGTCCTCATCATTGAGCAATTTTCCCTATTAATATAATTTTGTGTTCCGATTCCACCTTTTTGAACTTCTCTCTTCAGCGCAAGGCTGCTCTTTTTCTTCTGGGTTTTAGCATTCGCCGGCAGAAAATGGCGGTTCCAGGAAGGCGCAACGGTATGATGGACGGCGATGACGACGAAGAAGGAGCGTTGCCTGAATCTGATTTTGAGGATACCCCTCCCCACCTACGCGACCTTGCCGCCGCCGCCATGCACGGCGACATTGACGCACTTCGTCAAGCCCTTGGTATTTATACGTTCTGTTTACCTTTACATGATGTGTGTAGATGTTTGATTGTTTCTTGTTGCGAATAAATAATCATGTGTTTGGGAACGGTGGAGGATATACTTGTTCGATTATTTGGTCTTAGGGCATGTTTGGAACTCGGAGTTCAAAAACCGAAATTAGTATCTTTTAAAAAATTGAATATGCGTTGACTTTGAATAAAATGAGCTTACAGATTGGTGGTACTTTGGATTATATAGTACCAAACGATACATTAAGATGGTTGTACTGCGACTGATGAACTTGCAAATCGGTGGTGCTGGTAATGGTACCCCTTTTACTCAACCACGATATGCCAAATAGTTGACCTAGGGAGTTGTTCGTGAAGGTCATTGTCCTTTTGAGGTACTACTAAGCGCTTATGATAACTTAGAATATGAAAGAAGAATTAACAAGATTAACTTAAGAGATAGAGTAACCGTGATGGGATTATTGTATGGGTAAGGGCACTGTTTGTATCTCACCTGGCAGTCAAGTGACGGAGATTGTAGCTTTTTGGCCAAGGGATATGCCTAGAGGAGGAATGGCTTGTGACAATTATGTTTTGAGGTCTGTCACAAATTTTGTTGATCTTGAATCTATAATTTGTCATCTTCCATTGAGGGAGCTTAGGGATGAAGATGATATCATTTTTGATTTGTTGCTAATCTGGATTACTTTGCAATATATTAGTGTATTTATTTGTTCATTAATGGAAGCATTTAGAGGTTGAGTTGGTTATTTTTTTCAAATCGTTTTAGAAGTTAGATTTATCTGATGTAGAAGGATGCTATATAGCCTGTAAGTCTATAAAATGGTTATTAGTTACCATCTCTCTTTCCCCTCTCATATACCTGAAGGCAGAATTGTAAATAGCTAATTTCCACCACTTAGGAGCTGTTTGTTTGCGGCTTAACAGGCTTAATGGTATGGAGAGCTTATTTACTCATCCATACACAAGTGTTTGTTTACGGCTTGATCGTTAAGCCATGGCCAAAAATGGCTGCATCAGATACCCCATGAAGGGAAGCCTGTATAGATTCAACCATTATTTTTCTTCTTCTTTGTTTCTCTGTTAACAAAAAGACATTAAAGAATACCCAAATTGATTTATTCTCTCCCTTTCAGCCATTCTGCTACCATTATCTCAAGAAATCCAACATCCATATATGTTTACCAATTCACTAAAGCATGGTCAAATTCGTAATACTTGTCAACGCCTTAGAACATTGGGTAAACAATCTGCTTCATTTTTTCCTGTTGTTTCATAATCTCCACAAGCTCATCCAAGCGCCATGATGAAGAAGAGTAGTTTTTCGAGAACATAATGATAGTTACGGATGATTTTGATGGCTTTATAGAGTTCTAAACTGATTGACTTCCCTCTCTCCAGCTTCTCGTCATCTTGAAAATTTACAATCCCTTTTTTTTTGCAGAGCAGAGTAGAGTAGAGATGATCAACATTGGGTAAAATGGTCATTTCTATAAATTCAGACTGTTCATTCAGCAATCAGCACACAAAACAAACAACTTATTTTAATTGATATTTAATATATACTTTTCAGTACACATTTGAAGAGCATACCAAGTAGTAACTATAAAGAGTGGTAGGTGTTACGTGTAAGAAAAATTAACATAAATAGCAGTAAGACAAATCTGTAAGAGGTGGTTCCACTCGACATTTCTAAAATGTCAAAAGGATCCATACTGTTATGGTGGAGTTATATGTATATATATATATATATACCCACACACACTTGTGAGTTAGACATTGAAGGTTATAAGCTTCGGTCTAAAAAATTCATCTATATGCTGAGTCATTAGTAATCCTTATATTAAATGCAGTATAACTCACTCATATTACATACTCAAATCCATGGAATTTAATAAAAACATACAGCCAATGAGCCAACAGATTTGTTTTTCACTAGACCATGTAACCATGTTTATGCTTCATAATTAACCATTTGATCAAATTAGTCATCGAGGTTGTTCAGTTATTTCGTGAGCTGCTCATGTCATGGTAATTCCAAAATATGCATTTTTTTACCTGTAAGGTATATCTATATGTTTGGATCAACTTTACAACACGAGTAACTACATCTAGAACTAGTGAAATGAATAAAGATGAGATGTGGTTGGTATATGATGATTGGAGAGCACCTGTAGTTCGAAAATTTTGATATGTCGTCTCCATTCATGTACTTCTATGGAGCCTATATGAGATTGTCATGTGTTATTGCAAGTGAGAAAGGAAAAACTTAGTATTAGGTCTGTAGAATTGATTAAATTCAACCAAAATTATATACATGTTGATACAGTGATCCTCATCTATAATATCTTGCATTCCATGAATCCAATGTAATTTGTACCTGATGTTACTTTTGAGTATGAATGGTTCCGTTTAGAAGGACATTTTGATGAGCTGAGAGCAGTTAAAAAGTTAATCTAGTGGTCAAGGTGAAAAGTAATGAATTTTAGAATTCATTGTGTTTCAAGAATCCAAACATATGTAACAGTAGTTCCTACTTGTGCCAAATAGTATTTAAATATTTTGACTTTTGCGAGGTCTGATCCATTTTTCTTTGGTATCAATATCCCTTTTGGCTCTAACAAGATTCTGCTTTGGGGATCCCATGTATTCTCATGTTGGCTAGTCCATCTGTTTGCAAGGACAGTTCTCTGAAAGAGGAAAAATTGTTCCATATAATTGGGCGTGTATTAGCAGATGATATATATATATATATATATATATATATATATAGGTTCGTGATGCCTGATCTTAGGCCTGACTCACCCTCCTTGGACGAACCTTGCGGAGGAACCCTTAGGTTTTCGGGGACAAATACTACTGTTGCTTTGCCTTTACTCACGTCAGTGGCATATTTCTTTTCTTTCACAAAGACTGTTTAATAAATTTGAGATCAAAGTGGGCTTGAACTGCAAAGCCAAACCTTACCAAACACACCTGGTGAATCCCACGCGGAGTAGGATCTGGGGGAGGAGAGGATGTACTGCAGACCTTACATCTACCTCGAGGAGTAGAGAGGCTTTTTTTGTGAAGACTTCTGGTTTTTAACTAGGTTTTGAGAAAAGGATTTTGCTACCAGAAAATGGTTTAGAAAGTTTTACCAGGAAGAAAGAGATAAAAAGGTAATTGACAGAAATGCAGGTTAGCATAGCTGAAAAGAGAGGTAGTGATTAACCAATAAATGTAGTTGCTGACTGTCTGCTGCTTTTTTTATATTCTACTTCAGATTTTCTGAACCCATTCTTTGAACACATAAAGATTGTTACAGTTGATGACTAGTTCCTTCTCTTAATGAGTTTCTACTTTGGAACTCCTGAATACATTTTTGTAAACAATTCTTAGGAATAAATAAAAGTTGGCTTACGTGGTTGCCAAAAGCTATTTGTGCTTTGCAAAAGGCCATGATTGATTTCAAGCTCTAGGATGTACTATTACATACTAAATACACGGGTTTGAGTTATAGGGAAACCAGGAATCTTCCGTGTTTTGTTGACTGGTATTTATTCGACTGCATTCGTAGGGCAGAGTGGTTTGTGTGAGCGTAGCATGATAGCATCAATTACTTAAAAAATGGAACTTGTTCAATGTCTGGAGCATGAAGCTTTAATTTAGGGCTTAGGATATTCTTCTGGACAAATAGAAAAACTTTTGGTTTCTTAATTAATTACCATTTTTTCTATCTTGGTCATCATATTTCTTGATTGCATTATTGTTTCATAACATTTATATGCACATACATATTTATCACAAGTGACTCACACAGAAATAGGTCATTTGTTATCCCCCGCGTATGTAACTTACTAAAGGAACCTTGTTATATTGACATAAAAAATTGTTTGCTTGGATATGGTATTTACCACTCTGATATTTATGTTGTAATACTAATATCATATTTTATGTGTACCCTACCTAGAGATACATGTGAGATTTCTTAATCTCAAAGTGAAACTTAACATGGACTGTTGAAGTATTACTTTGAATAGTCCTCTCAATAAGGTTGGCTTGTAAAGGACATCTAAAATCAAACCAAACCAAACGTACCCAGAACATCCCACTCGGAAGTTGGAATTGAGTTTAGGGGTAAAGAGGCTGTTTCCATGACCACCCTCGCCTTGCAAAAGGTTCAGTGACACTTGAGATATTTTAGAAAAGGTTTTGTGAAGGACCTCTGCCAACATCAATTGAGTTGTATATAATTTTTTATTGTGACTGGTTTTGTAGGGGAGTCTTGTCTATGGCGAATGCCATTCTGTCACTTTGTAGTATTCTGAAATAGATAATGATTTTTATGAGACACTAGGAGACCATTTCTATTTTTGTTTGCAGCAGCTTAATTCACTTAGCCCCATGCAAAGCTAACACCATTTTTTTCCCTTCATCAACAACAATAGATAATTTGGATGGCAGCATCGATGAACCAGTTGAGGATGGAGATACTGCTCTTCATCTCACATGTCTCTATGGTCATGTGTCTTGTGTCCAGGTGAGTTACCATCATTGACAGCTTTCCGTGTATTGTAGTTCTCAGTATTTATGATTGTTAGAGAAATTTTGGGGAGAAAAATAAATTCTGTCCCAAAATAAATGCATCATTTGCCTGACATTTCCATTTTTGGCGAAGTTCCAATCTAATTTTGCCTCTTTGCCCATTAGTGATCATTGCCGATCCACAAGATTACTCTGTTTTGTCACTGTCAATGGGTATTTTTAGATATTTGAGTAATAATCAAACCGCTTCACTAAATAATCTCCTTAGTCGGTTATTGCATTTATTTTGGGATGAAGGGAGGGTGGGGAAAAGGGTCTGACCAACTACCACGTCATTTTTTTCATATAGCTATTGTTGGAAAGGGGAGCTTCGGTGGAGGCTCAGGATGAAGATGGTGGGATTCCTCTGCATGATGCCTGTGCTGGAGGTTAGCCATATACTCTACCTTTGACCTATTAAATTCATGCACTCTTGTGCCTAAAATTTATGTTCACTTGCAACTGCAGGATATCTGGAGATAGTCCAACTCTTGATTGGTAAAGACAATTCTCTAGAGTGCTTGAAAAGAATGCTTGAATCAGTCGATGTCGAAGGCGACACTGTAAGTGACTTGTTATTAGCAGCTAATTTTTCTTTTTCTACCCCCATCCCCACTAACAAAATATGGAAAAAACATACAGATATGCCTAGTGCTGAATATGGTTTGATTTTGTTGGTCTTGTACTGGGGCCAAACCGAAATTCGGGTTCATAAGAAATTGTGAACTATCTTCTGACTGAAAGCTTGGTGGTTTGGCTGTTTGATGGGTTTGGTTTTAGGTGGGATATAGAATTTCAATCAAATTCAAGGTTATTCAATCCCAAACAATAGTTTACATTAATTTCGAGCTCAATTGCTCTAATTTTGAAGTATATTATATTTTATTTATGGCGAACACTCATGGACAGTCCTCACCCTTTTTTTATCCAACCCGCTATGCGAGCCGACTAATCCCAAGGCGACCACCTGCTTCACGGGTAGCCTGGAGTCACCGCATTTGAACCTTCATGGCCACAAGGGGATTCTTATTTCTCCTTGGATTCGAACCTAGGACCATCAACCACTTTTGACCTTTGGAGCCCAAGCTCAAACCAATCGTGCACCACTGAGCCAGTGACCTTTTGGTTTCAATTGCTCTAATTTCTGTGTACAAGATGTTGGCTCTTACATTTTTTTTAACTTTATACTTCTTTATCTATATACATAAAAACTATAGATCATGGAAATAGTAGACGTATAAGGCTTATTCTAGTTTGCTTTAATGGTGGTTGGGCCATCTAGAAACCATAAATCAAAACTGGCAGTTCGAAGGGAAGAAAAAAAATGATCGAAACTAAACCGTCATTATTTGTATTTTGGCAGTTCGAAGACGCCTTTATAGAAATGTATTTTGTCTGTTAATCTATTTGATATTGTACAGCCTCTTCATCATGCGGCTAGAGGGGAACACAAGGAGATTGTTGTACTATTACTTTCAATCGGGGCATCACCTACTATGACAAATGTGTATGGAAAGGTTGGTATTAGATCGGTGGACGTGCATGTTCTTTGTTGTTATTCCGTCCATGTGGGTCCTAATATATTGAAACTTGACAGACTCCCGGGGAGCTAGTTGAAGCCAATACAGAAGTTTGGACTATTTTAGAAGCTGCAACCAGAGCAAGCGCAATGGCATCCCAAGCGTAATGGTAACATCTTCAAATTTTGTTTCAATTGTTGGGAGGGGATTATCTGAGGATTGTATGATTAAATGGATGATTATTTTTTTTTGACTGCATGATGATGGTGTTGCAGTGTCACTATAGTCTGCCTTTTAGTAAAGGAAAGAAATGCTAAATCCCCTCATAAATCAAAATTTTGCAAGTGTTTAGAAAGATTTACTTAGGGAACAACCCAATTACAAGTAGTCATATATTACAAAATGCATGTTATCAGAAAACAGCCAAGCAAGGAAACACCAAATCACTTGGTTTTTTACTTGTAACACATCACCTACCAAAGTTGTTCACAAAACATTGCTGCTCTTATTTATAAAATGATATGCATGCTAACTTTCTCCGATTCCTCCACAACACGAAAACAACTTTACACGATGAAAGGAACTACATTTTTCCTTTAAGCATTCAAGCACAAGCCTCGTTACATGAATAACAAATGATAGATTTACAACGGTTCCATTGGACCTAAGCATTCTTCTATGAGCAACAGCCACTGGTAGGCGTCGCACTCTGATGCTGTGGTTTCTGCTTCGATATGTTTCTTTTCGCCACCGTAGACCCTTCCAGAAGACTCGGGACCTCCATTATCTGTCACATAGGAACCTTAGCGAAGCTGCTCAGTTTTCTAGCATAGCGAAGGGAAGGTTCATTTAGAAACCTTAAATATTTTGAGAACCCAAGAATCATCTATTTTGTGTAGTATTCATTATGAATAACATGATAAACATTCATGTTGAATAGTATTCATTATTATTCATGATGAATACTACATCAAAAAAAGTGGTTCCTGGGACCTCAAAATATTTATGGATTTCCCTCTATATATGTAATTTCGATGTAAATGAGACCACATAGTGGCAACACCCGGCACCAAAGAGGAATCGTTATGTTTACCTTCAACGCAAGCTCTTGAAAGCATTGTTGTACGTTTTCCTGAGTTCTAGCACTACATTCAAGAAACAAACACCCAAGCTCTTTTGCAAGAGCTGCACCTTCTTCCCTGCTCACGAATCTTTCTGAATCCTGAATGAAATACCACATAAACTTCCAAAACTAACGATGCATATATCTTATGAATAAAAGAAATTGGAAGAGAACTGAGGGAACATCGGTGATAGGAAGCACATTGCATTAGCAAAAGTGTAGCGGAACACATCACACATGTTTAGCCATTGTAAGGTGGCGTTTGGTCCCGAATATGGAATTGGAATGTTGAATTCCATTGACCAAATTTCATTCTCTTGTTTGGTTCATTATTTTTCATGAAAGGAATCTTCAAAATCCTACAAATTCCACAAATAAAGGAATTTAACATTCCTTAGCAACTACATGGTATTTGGATGGAATAAAATCTCTATCTTTATTATACCAAATATGCCCTAATCTCATAAAACTTAATATGACCATCGTCGACCACCTCTCGACCACTATTGATCTGAACCACTGCCGACCACCATCACCGACTACCACCGATCTAAACTACCGCTGACCACCACCATCGATCTGAACCACCACCGACTACCACCGGTCTGAACCAATGCCGATCTGATTCACCGTCAATCTGAACCACCGTCGATAACCGCCATCTGAACCACGTTGGCCACCACCACCAACTACCACCGCCGACTACCACCGATCTGAAATACCGTCGACTACCACTGATCTGATTCACCGTCAATCTGAACCATCGACGATAACCGCCATCTGAACCACCATGGACCACCACTGATCTGAAGTTCTGAACCACCACAGACCACCATCGATCTGAACTACCGCCAACTACTACCGATCTAAAGCACCGTCGATCTAAACCACCATTGACCATCACCGATATGATCCATTGTGAACCACATCTGACAATCGTCACTTGAATCACAACGGACCACCATCGATCTATATCATTGCCAAACACCGATGACTACCATTGATCTCAATCACCATCGGACATCGTCAACCACCACCGATTTAAACAACCGCCGCCACCTATCTGAACCACCTGACCACCTCCATCTGAACCACTGCGGACCACCATCGATCTGAATCATTGCGGACCACCACGATCTGAACCACCGTCGATTTAGTAACGTCGTTTGGCTTATGATTATATTTGGGTTGTGTATTTTATATTGTTTTATATATTAAATAATTATTTTATTAAAGTATTTTTAGTTTTAAAAAAATTAAAATTTTCAAAAAGGGTATTTTGGTCATTTACCAAAATTTTATTCTAATTCTAAAGCTAGATTATGTGAACCAAACAGAAAGATTCCAATTCCTTAACATATTTCATTCTAATGTCTGCCAACCAAACAGATGGTCAAACCTGACAACATTTCATTCCAATTCCTTTAACAGATTTCATTAAATCCAAAAACATTCTGCAAACCAAACGTCACCTAAAAGATGCATGATTCTGTTTGAACTATAATAGAGTTTTAATCCTATATTCACTTCAACTCTTGTAAATTATTAACGAGTGGCCTTGAACTAAAACAATTAAGGGTCTCACTGCATCTAACAAATAATGAAAGATAATGCAGAGCTTACTTTATCAACTTTATTTCCAACGAGCATCTTGACGCAGTCTTGATTAGTGGAGTAAAGCTCGATTTCTTTAGCCCATACTTCAGACAAGTTCGTGAAGGTTTCTCTCCTTGTGACATCATATACTAACACATGTAAAAGTTCCATATGTCACTAAATAAATAACCTTGGAAGAACATGCAATCGAATGATAAAGGGCGCTTATACGATCCCGTCTGCATAAATTAGATATAAATTCACCGATAAAACATTTATGTTAGCATCTGTACTAAATTATATGGATTTTGAACATGTTGGCTCCACAATCATTTTTCAACTATCAGTCAGATGTTTCATGGGTTTGGATGTAAGATTGAGGATGATACACCCTCATTCAAAAAATTGTTCCATGAGTTTGTGAAACTAGTAGGATTTTGACAGTGGCATGCTAGATATTATTTGTAGTGCAGTAAAAGGGATGAACAGAGTGTCTAGGATACGAATCAATGTTCAATTTACATAAATAAGCATTAGTACACTCATAATACTACTGCAAAGAAATATATGCCAGCATATTTACTATTTTAGACGTAATTTAGCAATTGCGTACCAAGAATAATCCCTTGGGTACCTCTGTAATACGAGCTTGTCAATGTCCTGAATCTCTCCTGTCCGGCTGCAACAAGACATCATCAGAAACACAGATGAGTGACCCTTCATCCGAGTCTACTCGACATAAATTACGAACTAAACCCAAAAGCTCACCCACGGAGAAAGTCCAAAGATTACTTACTCCATTCAGGCAATGAATAGTTTTCTGAACTCATAAAGATTATTTTATATAAAAGAGAGAGCCTTTTCTAACTTGTTCAAGGGTAATGTAAGTTGAAGCTCACTGTTTTTCTGCTTATACAGTGCTCTATGCATGGAAGCAAGTCCTAACTATTATTATAATCGCAAGGGTTGTGGCATTGTGGTTTTTAGCCTAGAGGGTGTGGTGGAATATCCTGTCTGTGCTGCGTTTGATTCTAGTCGTCCACAACAATTGTGGCAACTGAGTTTATCAGGAGTGATGTCTTGCAATCGCACTTTGCCGGGATTAGTCTGCACATAGCCTGGGATACCCTTCCAAAAGTCCTAACTATTTTGTCTTAAATACAGTTAAAAGTGAGAGTAAATTTTCAGATACTGATTAGCAATTTAGGCCAACCTTGATGCACTGTTTATATAGTTCTGCTCCTAAACCTTCCCTTGCATGATTCAATTCTTCTGGGAAAAGGGCAAAAAAGATCAAATGTAGATTACCAACATTCACATAAATACATGCAGATGCAGACATAATGCAGCGACCAATATACACCAGTGCAACTATGTAGTAGAAATATGCTGAGGGGTATTATTGTCAATGCTTACCTGTGTCCCAAATTGTAAGTTTTAATCTTTTACCACCAACTCTAAGCTGCTTTAGTTTGAAGTCAACACCTGCTCAACAATAAAGAGTAAAATAAGTAGAAAATAGGACACTTCATGTATCCAAAAAATATTTAAAGGCCCGGTTCAAATAAAAAGATTAAATATGATGAGAAGGTGATGGAGCGAAGATTCATATGTGAACCCATGAATAATTTGTAACATTGGTTCACATATGCATCATCAAACATATATACTTTTATTTTTTCAATTATTAACATATAAACAATTTTTTAAACATTTGTCACAAAGTTTAAGGGCTGTTTACTAAACCCTTACCTGGTAAGTGCTTACCGGGTAATTTTCCTTATCTAATAAACATAACAAGGGTAAAAAATCTTACCCCGTAAAAACAATGATAAAGATGGAGAGTCTTGCTCGGTAAGTAAGGGTGCCAACTTTTACCCGGGTAAGTGCTTACTGGCTAAATTGTTGCATACGATATCATTTTAATGTACTACAATCTTACCCGATAAAAAAATTATAGTGTTGACTTCTAACGATAAATGCTCACTGGGTAAGCATCTAGATAAACAGCCCCTTACTAGTCTTTTAACCTCCACTTGGACTATGAATATGAATCAAGCGTTTTTCCAATATTTCCACAATTTACACCAAATCCAATCCATATTGTTTAAGCTAGGATTCATATCAAAAGTTCTGTTCTATTTTTTTATTTTTTTTTATTTTTGAAAGACATGAAAACTACATTTCTGGTAGATGGATAAATCGTAAATATACGCTTTGAAATATAATTAATCAACAAAAATAAACATATCAAACTGCTAAAATCACATATCAAGGATCGATATATACACGAAACCAAAAAATCTGAGTACACGTGTCCAATTTACATCAATTCAATGGACGAAAACAATAAATTCAGAAAGAAAAAAAAAAACCGAATCAATGAATCAGTAGAAGTGAATTAAGATTTACCGATAGTTGGAGGCAGATCGTTGACGGAGTTGGAAATGAAACTGACTAGAAGACTACTTTTGCCGACACCAGAATCTCCGATGAGTAAGATCTTAAATGAGAGATCGTACGGACCTGACGACGTACTCATTTTGATTAAGCTCGATGTTTTCCAACAACAAACAAACAATTCTGAATCTGTACAGAAAGCGAGATTAATTCAGAAACATCAATGGTGAAGAAATTGACATAGAAAGCGTGAGAGAGATGGAGAATCTATAGAGAGAGAGAGAGAGAGAGAGAAACTGGGGAAGAAGAAGGGGAACAGGTGTTCCTATCTGTTGAAGACTTGGAAGTGAGATGCGAATCCGGTCATGAGTCGCACGTTTCGGTTATTGAGTACAGTGTGTGTGTGTGTGTGTGTGTTTTTTCTTTATCTCCGTACTAAATTGGTGTTTCAGGCGTGGGTATCATCAAATATCATTTTTTATATAAACAATTAATATTTAATATTAGAGTGAGGATATATATCCCTTCCCTATAAAAAAGTGCACCCCCTCCTAAATTTTAGATAATTTTTTTTCCAAAAATTCATGTTTAATAAATTTATGTTTTATAATTTTCTTCAACATTGTTTTCAAATTTTAATTTTCTAAATTTATGTTTTATAATAAATTTTTGCCAACTAACTATTTTTAAATTAATTCAAATAGCTATAAAATTATTTTTAGTTTTATAATTGTATTGTTAACATTTTAATTAATTAATAATTTATATAGGTACTTTTTTCTAAATAAATATTTAAAACTACAAAAATAAAATAATTTAATGTAAAAAAGATCATCAAAATAAGTTAATTGATAAATCAACAAATAGAGTACAAAAAGTCTGAAAATATTACAACTCAATCAAATGAAATAAATTCCGTAGTACGATTACTAAATAACATTTGCTCGTATTTATTTATTCGGGTCATGTACGAAGTAGCCCATGCAGTCGCGCAATCATATTTGTAACGAAACCAATTTGGCACGATAGAAGACATCGGGTGCCCTTCTGCCAAAGATATTTTCAAGAAATCAATTTTTTTTCTTCTAACCACCTCTAAGCTTATGTTTTCAAAAATATATTTTCTATATATTTTTAGTATAACAATATTGTTTTTTTTATAAAAAAGCATAATACAATTTAAACTAATTTAATATTTGATTTTTTAATAAAAAAAGGACGAATTATTATCTGAATTTTTAGAGATTGTTGAAAACTGATGAAATTAGTATTTGAATATTCAGAAACTTAAATAATAATTGATTAGTTACTTTTTACGTTTTAAAGTCAGAAAAAAATGATGGATTATTTTCTGAATTTTTAAAGTTTCAGAAAGATTAATGATATATTCTATTAAAATATAGATAAAATGAAAATTAAGAATTTGCATATGAATTTTTATTCGAATTTTATAAGGGAAACTATATGACTATATACATATGGTTAAAATTTGTAAAATAATAAAATAAATGATATATTATTTTTTATAAATAACAAAGTTATTGTCTTTCCAATTTATTGGTTTTAAATTTGATTGATATTACAAATAAAAATTATAATTAATATAGATTAGAGAGAGAGAGAGAGAGAAAGAGAGGGGAGACATAAGAGAGAGAAATTCAAAATTTCACATCATTTAATGTTATTAATAGGTATTTTTTTGACTTTTTTAATAGATGGAAACGTAAATAACAACTCCTAACCAATAGATAACTTAAAAAAGAAATTGTATATTTTTTAGGAGGGATAATATTTTGAGTAAAATTTGTTTTGGAAGTCGACCGTTATAATTGATTGATTAATTAAAGAATGTAGAGAAAATCTCCATAGGAAAGGAAACCAGTTGAGTTGACCATCAATGATGGCAACGGTTTATATTTGATAATCATTACATATCTACCACCCGAAGCCGGCAGCTTCCGAAGCCGGCTTTCATCTCTAGAGTTTGTCGTGATTCTTGATTCTGTTCATCGAAATCAATCTTGTTTGTGTTTTTTTATTTCCATTTTTGCTGATAATCCGTTAATTGAGCTAAATAATTTGATACGCACTCGTTCGTATTCTGCTTCAAAAGTATCGGATTCTGATTGCGCAAATTGTTGCTTCATTACTGTAAGTGTTCTCTCTCTTATATTCACACACACATTATATGCGAAGTTGTTTTATGAATTTTAAGTATGTAGTTTCTGTGTAAGATTCATAGGGTATGAAAACACGCACAAACGCATTGAACCCTAGTTGATTGATTGGATGTCAAATGTTAGGGTTTGTGTTATGCATAAGGAATGTTTTTATACTTGTTGCGTTAGATTATTTTATGAACGAATTTCAGAGCAAAGGGAGAAAGAAGAAGCTCGCAGGTAGAACAATGCCATACTGATTTGTAGACTGGTAAAATAATATTTCATATTGCAAGATATTTCACAAGCAAATAAAATAAATGTACAAGCAAAGTAACAACATCCTAAATATAAAGATGTACAAAGTGTTCTTATTGTTGCTTGCTGTTTGATCCAAATGGCAACTAGAAGTAACTAGCCGAGTATCCTCCATTATGAGTAATTCAACATAATGGAAATCAGAGATTGAGAAAAGGTCAGAGAAGGGCATACAACTAAATAAAAGATGATAACAATCAAGAATCATCTAATGATTGTACAGAAATTATTTTAAGTAGCTATCGGCTTTCAAGTAGGAAGTAAGAACGGGTCCTTTTGGACCCAATGCATATAATATAGTGGTAAGAATAGTTTTTGCTTTCTAACTTATCACTAAGTGATGAGGCGTGGAAACAGGGTTCAGCCCGACCTTTCTTCGTAATGGCAGTCCAACATGGTGTCGCCAGTTTTGTCCGTCACCTCATTTGGCCCATGATATTTCAGGGATGCTTTATATTAGAGCGACATTGCACAGTGAGTTGCAGGTGTAGATAAAGGGCAGAAACACCCAATCCCCAATAGCAAAGTCACACTTTAATATTATTTATGTGCTATTTATAAACTCCAAACCTTGCAATCTGTCATATTTGGACGATATTGCCATGGTTTCGTACAAACTTCTCAAGTATTGCCATCTTACATCCCAATTTGCAGGTTTTTGTGAAAGGGGTGGCTGGCAACTAGCATCATACGATGAAATTAGTAGTATTTAGGTTTGTGGCAGCTGAATTGAACAAAGTAGATTTTCCTTTTCGTTTTCTATGTTTAGATGATGTGAATGTGGATGTTCAGTTAATTACATGAAGAAAGATTAACAATAACTCTCTATACTACAAGTTAACAGGAAAGGTATGACTTTGTGGTTAAGTGGATCGATTTATGTTGTTGAATTTCATATGGATTTCATGAAAAGTTAATCCAAGATATTACCCAATGTAATACTTATGATAAGTTATTTCAGATTATCTTATTCCCAAAAAAACTTAAAAATTAGTCAAGTTCGAAGATGAACTTTTATTTGTTTGATCTCAAAAGTAGGATCATACCTTCTTATCTTGGAATTTAAAATTGAATATGCAGTATCTGATCATGTGCAACATCGTCAGGTATAGAAACTAACAGCAAATGATGCGGTGATAGTCAACTTTGAGTTTGTTTACTTTTCCAATGGAACCAGATGATATAGTTAGATCCTTGATCACCATAGTTGGAAGTTTCGTCCAAGACCGGTTGCTCGATCAAAGGAAAAGGGCCACCCTGAAGGAACAATGTGGTGAGAGATTGGCAGCAGAAGATGAAAGCAATAACAAAGACACAGAGTTTAGGTACTCTGATCAAGCAGTTTTGGCAAATTTAGATTGGGGTATGGATGCTTTCGAGGAAGCCATCAATACATCTAATATTGAAACTAAGATGGCAAGACTTGACTATGCAGAGAAGATGTTGCAAGTGTGTGCTATGTTGAATACTAGTGATAAAACTGCTGGGGTCCCTAACTGCTATCTTTCAGCTTGGGCTCACCTTAATCTTTCCTACTTATGGAAGTTAAGGAACAATGCGACAAATGTTGTTCTTCATGTCCTTGAGATGTTTTCTGTTGATCCCTTTTTCTCACGAATTGATTTTGCTCCAGAACTTTGGAAAACACTGTTCCTCCCTCATATGAGTTCCATTGTTGGTTGGTACTCGGAGGAAAGGCATAGAATAATGATGGACTTGATTCCAGATTCAGCTGATTTGTCCTTCAATGTTGATTTTGATCTGTACTTGGATGAGTCTTTGGTCTTTTCTATGAGACCAGATCAGGCAGACAAATTGCAGAACTTGGAAAAGCTTTATGGGCAATCTTTGGATGATAATACGAGGCTTTACACAAATTACTTCAAAGATTGCATGAATTATAGTTCTGCCACTAGCAAGAGGCCTATTCCAATGTTACCAATCGCAGAGCCTCCTATGACTCCTTTACATGAGGTAAACAGGAAAATTCCTGATTACGTGAAATTCAGTCCCATCTTGCCTAAGAGTGCAGGGTTCTCTCCAGTTCAAAAAGCGAAAGAGAATACAAGAGAAACATCCAGGTTACTTTCTTATTATGGTAGATAACAACGTTTTCCTTTCTTCATTGGATAGAATGATTACTCACTCTGTACCATGTTTTGTCCTCGGGGGAAAATGGCATGGATATCAAGACATCTCATATTCCCTCCATTCCTGAATAAGAATCACTTGATTTTGAAAACTCAAACTCGGTATTCCTTAAAATTCAAAAATGACAGGTGGTTTTAGTTTCTCCACTCAAGAATGTTCACTTTGTACTCCGTCCGCTCCGCAAAACTAGCATCAATTCCATTTGGATTGTTTCATCAGCATTGAAATATTTCCTGTTTTTTGGCAAACTGCTAATCTGAACTTATCTTTTTTAACATTATCATTGTCTTGTCACTATTTTAAGGTATTTTTTTTTTGACAATTACTTCTGAAAAACTATGTGTCAAGCTGAACATTGCAATTTTGAGGGAACTGATGGAGTAATTGTTTTGTTAGTAGTTCAATGCTAGTATCAAGTATCTATCTACACGATTCTTATCCCTTTTTAAAGGAAACCAGTTTGACAATTAAAGTCACAGTGAGCTCTTATTTTTTTGGAGGGAACAAGGGCTTTTCAAAAGTTCACCAACACATTGGTAACGGTTTTCTAATATGATGGCGCCTCCATGAAGAAGAAATTACCATTTATTCGTTCTTACAAATTAGTAGTCTTGGTTAAGCGACAATAATCCATTTAAGGAAATATGACTTTTAGTGTGGGGATAAGGGATTACTCAAAAACAAAATGAGGACACTAGATGTGGAACAGAGAGAGTACACTAGCATCTTATTTTAATTCTATGCAGATTATTTTCCTTACCTTTTTCAACTTCAATTTGTAGAAATAACATGTGCAATTTTATAATCTGGAACCAAACAGTTTGAGTGCAACTAACACTTCCTCCGAGAACCTTCTGGACTCTGATGCATGGAATAATCGAGTAAGAAGATATGAGTTCCAATAGCACATGCATGCTCAGAAATGGTTAAAACTGATGGAATATTAGTTACTTTTGGTTTTCTGTAGGTGGGAATCCCAGAGGAGACTGAAGACTCTGACTACGAGCCTGAGGACTTGGTGGAATCTAGAAATGGAGCTTGCAACATAGAATCACTTAGAAGCTCTAAAATAAGCAAAGACTATGAATCTGGACCTAGTGGACCCACAATTAAGATGAAGAGCAAGGTTCATTCTCCTCCAATGTTTTTTACTGAAGATTTGGCCACAACCTCTCTAAAAGTTGCAAACGCAAAGCAAGAAGGAAATGGTAAGGAAGAGGCAAGGTCCATCTTGCGCTTACAATCCACACGAGACATGGATTTTAAAGTTACCACTTCCTTACCCACATCACCACAGGTGCATCATGATTTCAGCATTAACTCACCAGACTTGAATAATGAATCTAAAGTATGTTTTATACTGACGGTATACAAAAGATCATTCTTTCTACTTTGAATAAATTATAACATCTTGAACTACAATCTATTACTAAAAGTGGATTTTATGCCTAGGAGCAGCCAAAAAGTGTAAGGAAAATTTTTGCTCATGGTGATGGACGAAATTCTGGTTATGCAAATGTAAATAATGAAGCACTAGAAAGGAGGTATGTTATTTAGTGTCAGATAATGAGGGTCTTCTTTGTGTGCCTTATTTCCGTTATACTTGTATAACTGTCCGTCAACATGTCAACTGCTCTTACAGAAGGATCAAACATTTTTCTCACCCTGAATAAAAGCTTCTTCGACTGTTTCAGTTTTACTAGAGAAAATGATAGCAGGAGCCCAAACTTTGGTTCTCCTCAACAGTTTGAGAGATCAACGCAATCAAGGCCACCAAAAGATTTTGTCTGCCCTATCACTACCCAGATTTTTTCTGATCCAGTGACCCTAGAAACTGGTCAGACTTATGAAAGAAAGGCCATTGAAGAATGGATGAAGAGAGGGAACACAACATGTCCCATCACAAGGCAGCCTCTCTCTGCCAACGTACTTCCAAAAACGAACTATGTATTGAAGAGACTCATCACCTCTTGGAAAGAACAGCATCCTGATCTTGCTCATGAGTTATCGTATCCTGCAACACCAAGAAGTTCCTATGGAAGCCCCTCTTCTGGACAAATAGAATCAACATATACATCAAAGACATCAAATCTTTGTGACGATAAGAATAATGGTGATGATTGCTGTAATTACAAGCCAAGAAGATTCATGCAAGCTACAGTCGCAACATCACCAACTAGTGTGATATCTCAAGCTGCAGTTGAAGCCATTATCAGTGGCTTAAAACCTTTTATTTCATGCCTATGTACTTCAGAAGACCTAAAAGAATGTGAAGAAGCTGTTTTGGCAATTGCCAGGATGTGGAAGGAGTCAAATGCTGATCCTGGGGCCTATGCTTGTTTATCTACCTCTGAAGCAGTAAATGGTTTCATGGATGTATTATCTGCATCTTTAAGCAGGGAAGCTCTTGCAAAAACAGTTTATATCCTGTCTGAGTTACTGGTTGCTGATGACAATTTTAGAGACGTCCTAACAAGTGTAGACTTCGATTTTGAATGCCTGGCTGCTTTGCTGAAAAATGGTCTTCCTGAGGCTGCTGTTCTAATATACGTACTGAAACCGACCTTCTCACAGATGTCTGCACACAACTTAGTGCCACAATTTATTCAAATAATTACTAGTAAATATGAAGATTCAAAGGATCATGAGCTGTTGATGAATCCCAAGGACGCTGCCATAGAGTTGGTAGAGCAGGTTTTAATTGAAGGAGATGAGAATAGCAGGTCTTCTAATGCTTTGAGCATTATATCAGCAGATGCAGTACCTATTTTAGTCATGTGTTTAGACAAGGTGGATATAAGGCAGTCTGTTCTGTTTATTCTACTGTGTTGTATCCATGCAGATAAAAGTTGTAGGAACTTGATAGCGAACCGAATAGACTTGTGCCTTGTTCTTGAATTATTTCATGCTGGAAATGAAAATTTGAGAGGCATGTGCATAGATTTTCTCTCTGAGTTGGTTCAATTGAACAGGTACGCCATCTCTTTTTTTTTTCTCTGGATGTTACATTGCTTGTCTAGGCTCCATGTCAACTAGACAGTGCCTTTGTCCCACACTAGTTGGGAGAGATTGATAACGAGACCCATGGGGGATTCGGGATGGGAGAGACGATCTAACCTATATGGCTCATCTATTCATATTGCATGTCCACACCCTCGTACCCATTGGATTTTTGTGTCTTCTTATTGATTTTCCACCATTATTCTTCCATCTATATTTTGCCTATTTGATGTTATAAACCAGACTAAACCAAACGGACCTAGTAAATCCCACAAAGGTAGGGTCTTGGGGGACTTAGGGTGTACGCAGAGCTTGCCTCTACCCCAAGGGGTAGAGAGGCTGTTTTTGTGAGACCCCCGGCTTGCAAAACAGAATTACAAGGAAACGAGCGAGCAAGTAACAGATTAGAGTGAGTGCCAACGAGTAATGAGTACAGTAAACAGAAATTGCATCAGGGATAGATGTAAGAGGATCCTGTTTGATGTTTTACAATATACTCTCTCTTCTCAAAATCATTTTCTATAATCAATCTTCACTTGGGTTATCTAGATCTTGGAACTGCATGATGGTTATAAGGATGCTTGAATCTTCCGTTCTTAATTTCCCAATGAAATTATTTATGTGCATATTATCATCCATACAATTGTTTCTTCTTACTCCCGCAGGAGAACATTATGCAATCAGATTTTGCAAATTATAAAGGATGAAGGAGCATTTAGCACAATGCATACTCTTCTCATCTATCTACAAAATGCCCCAATGGAGCAGCAACCTGTTGTTGCTTCACTTCTTCTCCAGCTTGATATCCTGGTTAGCTACTTAGTATTAGAAATCGACCTGTTTTGCAAAGAAAAGGGAGTCCACTTAAAGCATCTGCATGTTTTTGTTCATGTTTGTAGGTTGAGCCTCGGAAAATGAGTATTTACCGGGAGGAAGCAATTGAGACACTAATTGACGCACTCCTCAAGAAGGATTTTCCAAATTTACAACTTATGGCTCTTGATGCATTATCAACTCTATCAGGGCATCTTAGTTCCTCAGGGAAGTCTTATACTGAAGCCTGGTTACTCAATCTGGCTGGGTTCAGTAAACCTTATGAAGCTTTTATGAAAAACGAAAAACTGAAAATGAACCAAAAGGAACTAACAGAGACAATGGTTTGTAATTTTGTTCTTTCGCGGGTTTCCGTCATTGTTTTTTATTAAAATTCCTCTGCTGCACATTGTAAAAACTTTTGCTTGTTTTTAGGACCATGAGGAGAAAGCCACAAGTTCTTGGGAGAAGAGGGTAGCTTTTGTACTCTGCAACCATGAGAAAGGCCTTATTTTTAATGCTTTAGAAGAATGTCTTAAGAGCAAATCTGTAGATATGGCAAAGAAGTGCCTTATCACAGCCACATGGCTTGTGTACATGCTTTATAACTTGCCAGACACAGGCGTAAGAGATGCTGCTCATAAGTCCTTGCTCCACCAATTTATATACATACTACAATCGTCTAAGAACCTTGAGGAGAAGATTTTAGCAACCGTTGCTTTGAGAAGCTTCATTAGTGATCAAGGTAAAATCAGTCCATAAAGATCCTATACAAGCACCACTATCATAACTAATCCCTTTATTCATATATCTAACTCCCGTAATTTCGTTAAGGTGCACTTGGTGAAATTGGTGGTTATGCTGAAGTCTTGTACAAAACCTTAAGAAAGCTGAAGAGGAGCTATGTGGTTGTCAGTGATATAATGAAAACTTTGATGAATTTGCCATCTGTCAATGCAGTGAGTGTGGACCTCCAATATGCATAATTTTTCAGTACAGTTTTTATGATAATTTCTATCAATCCAAAATTATAGTGGGGTATTTTTGGTATCTGACTAATAGTCAAAAAATCCCCTCAAACTATGATCATAGTGAAACGGAGAATTTACTTTGAGATGGAGTGAGTACATATTCACATCGTTGCTCCTAACTCTGTGACTTCTAGGCAGAAATGTGGTCTGCTTCAGAAGGATTAGAGACTGATTCATCAATGAATGGAGAGGTTCTATCCTTGCTTGATGTTAAAGGTCGTGTGTTAAGCAGCCATTCTGATGGAACCATTAAGGTATGGATCTAAAAGATATTACATATTACACATCAGTCCGTGCATGTGCATATCTACAAACTGCACATGTTCTACATCATAATGCATGCATGTACACATGTCGGGATCTCAGATTGCCACATCTGTCATCTGTGAAACTTCATTCTTTTGGACTGATGTACCCTTTGTGTATCAAAAGTGTGTGAATGCAAAGCGTCGTTAATGTTCGTATTTAGGTGTGGGATGCAGGTAAGAGGGGTTTACGATTGATTCAGGAGGTCCGTGAGCATGCAAAGGCTGTCACATGCCTCTATATTCCACCTTCGTGTGATAAGTTTTATAGTGGTTCCTTGGACAAAACAATACGGGTATGCTATATTTTCCTCTCTGTCCCAAAAAGTAAACAGACCGTTTAATTTTTTGAATCAAAGCTTCTTTTTCAAATAATGCATATTTCTAGCTTCTCTTTTCAGAGTATTCTACTAGCATAATATGTCATTAAGGATTAATGTAACTTTATTCTTTGTGGAGACTTATTACAAGTGAAGCGCATTCGGGTAGCAAGAAAATCAAATATTTTTGTTGTAATTCCTTGCACTTGCTCAACAATAGCTAACTTATTCATCTGTTCATCAATAGATATGGGTAATCAAGCCAGAAGGGATTCGTTGTATTCAAGTTCATGATGTTAAAGAGGCAGTCCATGGGTTGACAGCAGATGCCAATTTTGCATATTTTTTCTCTCAAGGAGCTGGATTTAAGGTCAGATCTCTAAGCTAAAACAGATTATGATAAAACTACTAGTTGTCCGTATATACTATATATGATTAGGAACTACTTTTACACTAAAAAGCAATTATTGACTATTATGAAATAACTAGAGTATTCTTCAATAATGTCGAAATAGGGAAACATTGTGGACCCTAATCAATGATACTAATAATCTTATAGTGGGTATTTCTTGGATCAAACCTCTCCTAAAAGGGAAATTTAGCATTTATTTGGGACATTTAAAGAAGAAAATTGGTGCATTCTTTTGGGATGGAGAAGTTACATACACTGGAAATAGTTTATATTACTTATCACCAACAAAAGTCAATATTGTCATCAATGTACTCAAATTAATGATTTTAGTGAATGTTAACATTTATTTAAATATGAAATAGTATTGAATTATGATATATTCTATGCATTTAGAAAGGCAAAATGCATCAAAACAAAATCAACTTAAATTTGCACCCTTAAATGAGAAATTTTGAAATTTGGTCTCCCAAGAAATGAAAACAAAATTGGTTCCGTCTTAGTGCAATCTGTGCCATCTAAGAAACCAAAAAAGAAGTCGTCAAAATGGTGAAATTTTAATGAATGTGTAACCGACAGCTTTGATTTAACCTTTTACAAATGAAATAAATCCTTAATTTTATACAATCGAAAAAGAAGATGAAACTGGTGGCTCAATATTCTCCTGTGTAGGTTTTTGGGTGGTCAGGAATCACCAAACATATTAACTTGAAGCAATCTGTCAAGTGCCTTGATATGATCGGAGATAAAGTGTACTGTGGTTGCAGTGATTTCAGTATACAGGTAAGTGTTAGGCCAATGCACATTTTGCTTCATTGTTAGGTCCCACGTCAGTTAGACTTGAACCAATGATCTTCATTTGTTAGGGAATGATTCCAATATTGTTGTCAAGAAGAATTCACAGTTTGTGATATGAAAACATTTCAGGAAGCCGATTTGCAAAAGAGCACAACAACATCATTTTACTCGGGGACACGAAAATTGTTGGGAAAACAATCGATAAACTCCATATCTATTCATGACGATCTTCTCTTTGCTGGTGGCACATCAGTAGATGGAACAGCAGGAAAGGTAGTTAAATGATGACAAGTTTGATGGTTGTTTTACTCGAAATGACTATTTTAACCTTGTAATGATTTTCTTATCGTTAAGAAAATTTCAAATGATCGAAACTCAATGACTATAGGATTTATAAAATGAAAATGTCAGATATCAGGAATGAATTTGATCGTTGAAGTTTGAATATGGTAGGTATTCTCTGTATCGAGTAGGGCCGTGGTGGGATCGTTGTCGAGTGGATTTGATATCCACTACTTGGCTGTGAACAATGAGTTGATATTTGGAGGCACAAAGAATGGGATAATTGAAGTATGGCTGAAAGAAAGGTTAACAAGAGTTGTTTCCATCAAGATGTCAGGGATTGGCAAAATCACATCTATGGCATCAAATGCTGAAGGAGATATGTTATTCACTGGCTCTTCTGATGGCAAAATCCAGGTTAGAAAATTACTTCTTTTAAACCTTCATCCATATCATTTATCATTTCATATAATAAATTGTAGTGGTTCTCTTCTTCTCAAACTTTTCAACTTATTAAAAATTACCACTTTTGTTTCTGAATTTTATAACTCATTGTTGTTTTCGTTTTTGAGACCAACTCCATCAGTGTTTTACTGCTAAATATGAGAGACAAAAATAACAATGAATTATAAACCATATGAACGAAAAAACTGTGAATTGCACCGAAAGAAAAAAAAAATTGTAAATTATGTATGTAATATAATTGTTTCAACAATTAAATGTTTATTTCGTTTCAGGCTTGGGAATTACATTGAAGAAAGTGAAAAATGCCACTTTACCATACAAATTACATATTTTTGATCATCAATCCTTGTGCTGAGAATAAGTATTTGGTTCAAATATATCGTATATGACAAGCTAAATTTCGTATTTTCATATATATATTTTTTTATCAAAAATATGCAAAATCAATTTTCATGATTAATATGTATCGGTTCGTCTTGTTTACCTTCTCATAAATCCCATATATCCAGACATGCGACTCGTTACCTCACATATTTGTTGTTCTACCAGCTTAAGCTTATTTAAAAATTAACATATCGTTCTACTTCTAAGCTATTTACCCAAATGCTTACTCATGCTATAATTTATTTTGATGAGTAAAATTTTAGTACATCAAAACAGAATGCAACAATTTACTGGGTAAGCACTTACCTGCATAAAATTCGTAACCTTCACTTACTAGGTAAGATTCTCTATCATTCTCATCATTCAGCCGATAAAAAATAAAATACAAAATAAACTTTTAATAAACGATCCCTTAGTTTATATAACATATAACGTTTAATATGCTAAGAAATTTACCTTCATAATAGAATAAAATTACAAAAAACATGCCATTCGTTACAGAAGGTAATAGAAGTAAAATTACAACGTAACCTTTTTTTTGGCTAACTTAAAAAATTCACAAAGCATGTTTGTTTTGATTTACCAAATCTTTTGTTGTAATTTGTATTTTTGTAAACCGGTAATTCAATATAAAAAATTGTAATTTGTAATCTGATGCATTCAAATTTACGATTTCAGACGCATGCTGTATCCATTTAATACAATTATTTGTTTTCACATAAAATATTTTTAAACAAAATACCCTTCACCATTTTTAATTTCCAAAATTGATTGCAGAAGAGCCCAACAAATTAAAAGGAAAACTAGGGTACCAAGCGATAAGGTTCTTTAAAAAATTTAGAACTTTAACCAACTCCATCCTACAACAATTTACAAATACATCATCATCCATCAAATTCAAACTAATACTTAAATAATCTGCAAAAAATCCAATTAAAATACTGCTTAGAATCCTTTATTCAATTAAACAACACAAAATCTTAGCAATTACAGATGAATCACTTGATGGTTGGAATTCATGTAATTTAGAGATATCAATAACCCACGAGATAGCTTTAAGCACCTTGCGTCTTCATCTGGTTTTTGTAAACACTGAACATAACTGGTAATTATGAAAAAACTTTTATATCCAACCTGCTATACAAGTGATCCAAAGTAACCCAGAGTCAGTCGGCGCATTTAAACCTCTGTGGACACATGGAGGGAGATTCTTATTCATCCTTGTATTTGAACCTGCAACCTTCGGCAACTTTTAAACTTTGGAGTCCAAGCTCAAACCAATAATGTGGTTTTGACGGAATTTCAATAATAAAGAGAGTTGATTTTGATGGAATTTTCGTCAACTTTAGAAATCATCCAGCACAGTGGGCCAGTGAACATTTAACAAAATTGACAACGTAGAATCTTGCACCATTTTTGAGCTCAACAAGCATCGATCATATAGAGCTTGCCAAACCTTCGAATGTGCTTTCATTTTATTGGTTTCTATGAACTTTTGTATTCAAAACTTGAATCCCTGTTCACAAATTCAAACTCCAAAGCATTTCGAACTTAGTTTGAATTAGAAAAAAATAATAATATGAAATAAGCAAAACAAATACTACACATCACTAAGAAAATATGAAATAAGTAACAGCAAAACTAGCCCTCAGATCTCATAGCTTATTAAATCATAGAAGGATTTACATCCGATAGCAGCAATTTGTCGAGAGCCGTTAAACATTGCCACAAAAGAAAATTCATTTGGTGTTATAGTGTGTGCATGTGATGAAAAAATATTTATGGTTCGTGGCAATGAACGAGAAAAGACAAAAAGCAACACCAGAAAACCTCTCAATTATCATATGTTTTCCATCATTGGGCATTTTTACACACGTATCAGCAAATTTTAAATCAGATTTAGAAGTTTTACACATTTAATTCAGAACCAGATAAATTTAAAGAAGAAGACATATATGCCGTGCATGATGCATTAGAATAAGCTTGAAGAACAGTCAGGCGTGCACAAATGATATAGGAGATGATGATCAACTGCTTCATGAACTTGTACAAAATTAGATCAACAACTGCTCATAACGTATTTTGACTGTAACACGAAAAAATCATCAACATCGATACTTTGCAATCAATATGCGCAAACATCAGAAAAAATCATCAACATCGATGTTACTCTAGTGGTAGATTAATATATGTGAATCGAATCGGAGAAAGGGCGAACATTCAGAATGAGTAGGAGGTTTGAAATTCCATTCATGAATAATATCGGAATAAAACAATCATCACTATGCTCGCCCAGCCTTTAATCTCATGATGCATTTGTGTTGAATGAAAAACAGATTATGCAAAAACCGATTGCATGTCCCTTTTGGGTTAGAGATGCAGTGTTATATACAAAACTGAAACAAAACAATAGACCTTAGCTTTTTCCAGCATCATCGGCAGCCATTCAGACTCCTGGTTGAGATAAACCGTAAGAAGGCGTTGTGTGGGAAAGAGGTTCCGCAGGGGAAGATGATACGAAGAAAACAAGTGCTAACCCTAAATCCCTAACGGTAGATTTATAGCGGGCTCGTTAGGGTTTTGAAAGGCCCATTTGGGTTGAAAGGCCCGCGTCATTAACACATGATATGATCGGATCTAATTTAAATGGAACGATTCAATTATAAATGGATATTTAATTGTAGTTAGATAAAATCGGATCTAAAATTTCAACATTCAAATCAGATCAGTCGGCTCTTGGATGATAGTGCAACATCCAATAAAAACGAACTGGACCGATCCAATCTAATGATCATCTAATTAATATCCAATTAACTATATATAATCATTAACATTTTATGATGTTTTCTAGTTGATATTTATATACATTGTTTCTTAATAACCTAAGAAAACATATGAATATTTAGTTAAAATGGTGGATTAATTGGTTGAGTATTAAATCAGAAGATTGATGAATCCAATCTGATTTAATGGATAACCAACAGTACATATATTGGATAAAACTGATCATATCCAATCATTTATTTGGATTTGGTTCGGATCGGATGTCCAATGTTAATCAGGTTGAATCGGATGACAAAATCCAACATCTAATAGATTATTGAATCGGATCGGATCGGATCCACTAAAATCAATTGAATTTCAAACGATGAACACCCATAATCATATGAGCTCCACTTTTATTTTGGTTTACATGAAACTATAAAAAATGACTTTGTGTTTCAAGTTTACATTTTATTTAGAAACAATCCCTCTCATTAACTTATTTAAGAGTGAATTACAAATTTTGATCTCGTGGTTACTGAAAATTCTGGATTGGTTCATCCAAACGAAATAATTACATGCTTGATCACCATCCTTTTCACTTTTATCATGGATTAAGTTATTTATTCGAACTACACTAACCGATGCTTAGTTATGTAAAGGTTAGTATTGTCATTTTACAATTTTCTTGTATTTTCTTTTTTAAAATTATACTTACTAAGGAGGTGTTTGAGATTGTTTATAAAAACAACTTATTGACTTATTTCGGTGTGACACCGGTAATAAGCACTTTTGAGTGTTTAGATAAACAACTTATGCCGGTGTCAAACCGGTAATAAGAAGTTTTTGAAGAAGTTAAACCCTTCCGACTTATAATTAATTGATAGATGGTTTTATAAAAGAGCATAAGATGTTTAAAATAAGCAATCTCAAACACCCCTAAATTGGTGCATGTTGTGATCCATTGTACCCTTCTCCCTTCCTATTATAATGCATTTCAATATCTTCTATAAACCCTCCATTAATTCTCAACTAATGAGGTGTTTGGGATTGCTTATTTTAAGTGTTTTTTGACTTATTTCAGTCTGACATCGGTGATAAGCTAAATGCTAGTGTTTGGATGAGGAAAAATAAAATTGCTTATACCGGTGCCAAACTGGTAATAAGCAGTTTTTGATAAGTTAATCATTCATGACTTATGAAAAACTGTTTATTACCAGTTTACCATTATAACCTTGTTTTATTAATGTTTGTTAATTATTAATCTTATTGATATGAATTTTTGTCAAAATATTATTATAAATGATGAAAAATAAATTTTATATGTTAAAAAATCATATAAGTTAATAATCAAAAATATTATTATATGGAAGACTGTTTTTTTTGGTCATTTTACATCTATAAAAAAAATTTGTCAAACACTAAAAAACAACTTATCAGATTATTGCCTTTTGATATTATAAGCTAATCCAAACAATTTTTACAAAACTCCGATTTAATACTACATAACTACATAAGTTAATAAGCACTTTTAAAAAAAAGGAAAAATCTAAAAAAAACCAATGGACTTTAGTGTTTTGAATGATTAAGTCTTTGGACAAATTTTTAGAACAAATAAGTCATTAGACATTCCAAAACATGTTAAATAATTCTTTGGACAATTTTTGGAACAAATAAGTCCTTGGACAATTTAAAACATGTTAAATAATTTATTGGACAATTTTTTGGAACAAATAAGTCATTGGACAATTCAAAACATGTTAAATAACTTCTTGGACTTTTCTAAAACCTATTGAATACATTCTTATGACTTGTACAACTAGTTAGTGTAGTAAAATAATGAAAAAAGTCTGAAAAAAAAAGATTTAAAAGATTTAAAAAGAATTACTGATTATTTATAAAAAAAATATTAAATTATAAAAGATATTATGTCAATGATTTTTCAAATAAAAAAATTACTTATTATATTTATTTTTAATTAAAAATAAAATATATTACGTA